TAGTCTAGAGACGACCCGGGTTGAGAAGAGAGAGAGTTTTATGTGTAGAGAAACGGGTTGAGAAGATAAGAAGAGTGTATAGTGTAGAGAACAGGGGTTGAGAAGAAAATAAGGGTGTATAGTGTAGTGAAGACAGGGGTTGATAAGAGAAGAAGTGTGTATAGTGTAGAGAAAACAGGGGTTGAGAAGACAGAAGTGTATATGTGTGAGAAGAATGGTTTAGAAGAGAAGAAGATTTGATAGTGTAGAGAAGGCAGGGTTGAGAGAAGGAAGAGTGTATATTTGTAGAGAGGACAGTGTTTTGAGAAGAGAAAGAAGAGTTTATAGTGTATCGAAACGGATGAGAAGAAATAATAGTTTTATAGTGTACAAAGACATGAGTCGAGAAGAGAAGAATATTTTAATAGTGTACAAAGAACAGGATTAGAGATAAGAAGGAAGAGTTTATATTGTAAAGTAGAGATACAGGAGTAAGAAAGAGAATAATATTTTAATAATTTAGAGAGACCGGGGTTGAGAAGATGCGCAAGAGTGTATAGTGTAGCGAAACAGTGGTTGAAGGAAGAGCATAAGTGTGTATAAGTGTAGATAAGACAGGGGTGAAAGAGAAGAAGTGTGGTATAGTTGTATAGGAGGCAGGTTTGAGAGAGAAGGAAGAGTTGGTATAGTGTGCAGAGGACTGGTGTTGAAAATAGAAAAGTGTGTATAGTGTAGAGAAAACAGGGTTTAGCTGTAATGCACAAGAGTTTTTATAGTGTAGAGAGGACAGGGGTTGAGAAGAGAAGAAGGTTTTATAGTGTAGAGAGGGACATTGGTTGAGAGAGAATAAGGGTTATAGTGGTAGAGAAAACAGTGGTTGATAAATAAGAAGATTTTAATCATAGAGTACAGACTACAGGTGAGATAAAGAAGACGTGATTTATAGTGTTAGAGAAAACGGTTGAGAAGTAAGAAAATAGTGTATAGTGTAGAGAAAACAGGAGTAGAGAAGAGAAGAAGAGTTTATAGTGTAGAGAAGACGGGGGTTGAGAAGAGAAGAAGAGTGTATAGTGTAGAGAAAACAGGGGTTGAGAAGAGAAGAAGAGTGTATAGTGTATTAGTAGACAGATAGAGAAGATGAAGAAAGTTTATATTGTTCATAGTCAACAGGTTTGAGAAGAGAAGAAGAGTGTATATTGCTAGAGAAGACGATTAGAGAAGAGAAGCAGAGTGGGATAGTGTAAGCGAAGAAACCGGGGGGTTGAGAAAGAAGAAGAGTGTAAATAGTGTAGAGAGGACAGGGGTTGAGAAGAGAAGAAGATTTTATAGTGTAGAGAAAACGGATTGAGAAGAGAAGAAGAGTTTATAGTGTACAGAAGACAGGAGTAGAGAAGAGAAGAATAGTTTATAGTGTACAGAAGACAGGATTAGAGAAGAGAAGAAGAGTTTATAGATTGGTAGAGAAGACAGGAGTAGAGAAGAGAATAAGATGTTATCCTTGTAGAGAGACGGTTTTGAGCAGAGAGAAGCTTGTATAGTGTAGAGAAAACAGGGGTTGAGAAGAGAAGAAGAGTGTATAGTGTAGAGAGGACAGGGGTTGAGAAGAGAAGAAGAGTTTGGTGTAGAGAAGTATAGGGGTTGAGAAGGAAAGAGTGGATCGTGTAGTATAGGTAACACGGGGTTGAGAAGAGAAGAAATGTGTATCTTGTTAGATAGACAGCTCGGGTTTGAGAAAAGAAGACGTGTAGAGCTGTAGAGAGGACTGGTTAGAGATTAGAAAAGTGTGGTATCTGTAGATAAACAGGGGTTGAGAGAGACAAAAGTTATATTGTAGATAGTACAGATTTGTCGAGATAGATAAGAAGAGTTTATAGTTAAGAAAACGGGTTGAGAAGAGAAGAAAAGAGTGTATAGTGTAGAGAAAACAGGAGTAGAGAAGAGAAGAATAGTTTATAGTGTACAGAAGACAGGATTAGAGAAGAGAAGAATAGTTTATAGTGTAGAGAAGACAGGAGTAGAGAAGAGAATAAGATGTTAGAGGTAGAAGCCGGGTTGAGAAGAGAAAAATTTTATAAGTGGTAAGAGAAAACAAGTGGTTGAGAGAGAAGAAGTGTATAGTGTAGAGAGGACAGGGGTTGAGAAGAGAAGAAGAGTGTATAGTGTAGAGAGGACAGGGGTTGAGAAGAGAAGAAGAGTGTAGAGTGTAGAGAGGACTGGGGTTGAGAAGAGAAGAAGTGTGTATATGTAGAGCAAACAGGGTTAGAGATACAATAGTGTATATGTTAGAGAGAATGGGTTGAAGAGAAAGAATGATTTTATAGTGTAGAGAGGAACAGGGGTTGAGAAGAAAGACGGGTTTTAGTTTAAGAGACAGGGTTTGTTTGTAGAAGGATGAAGAAGAGTGTATAGTATAGAGAAGACAGGGGTTGAGAAGAGAAGAAGAGTTTATAGTGTAGAGAAACGGGTTGAGAAGAGAAGAAGAGTTTATAGTGTAGAGAAAACGGGTGATAAGAAAATAAGTTTAATTGTAGAGACAGACATGGTTTTGCTAAGAGAAGAAGAGTGATAGTGGTATAGAAAAAACAGGGTTTAGAGAAAAGATCGACTGTGATATTGGAGAGAAGACATCGGGTTTTAAGCAGAACTAAAGATTTTCAACATATTTAGAGAGGCATTTGTTTGAGAAGAAAGAGAGTGTATAGTGTAGAGATTACATGGGTTAGAAGAATAGAAGAAGAGTTTACTGTGTAGAGACGCACTGATTGAGAAGAGAAGAAAGAGTTTATACAGTTTAACAGAAGAAATGAGTAGAGCAAGAGAAGAAGATTTATAGTTTATAGAGGACAGGGTTATGAATAGAAAGAAGAGTGTATAGTGTAAGAAGACGGGTTAGAAGAGAAGAAAGTTTTATCGTGTAGATAAAATGGATTTGGAATAGAAGAGAGTGTATAGTGTGAGAAAACGGTTTAGAAGAGAATAAAAGAGTTTATTAGTGGAAGCATACGACAGGAGTAGAGAAGAGAAGATATAGTTTTTATGTTTTAGAAGACTAGGCTTAGTAGAAGAGAAACTAGTTAATAGTGTAGAGAAACATAGTAGAGTAGAGATAAGAGTATATAGTGTAGAGAAGACAGGATTTGAGAAAGAGAAGAGAGTGATATATTGTAGAGAAAACATGGTTTGAGAAGAGACAAAAGGGTTTTATTGACGATAAGACACCGTGACGTTTGAGTAAGAGATATTAATTACAGCATATTAAGGTGTAGAGAGGATCCCCTCTACGGGGTTGAGAAGAGAGAGGGTTTTATATGTGTAGAGAAGACAGGGTTGAGAAGAGAAGATAGTTTATAGTGTAGAGAAAACCGGATTGGAGAAGGAGAGAAGATGTTTCATAGTGTGGATGGAAACAGCTGGGGTTGAAAGAGAAGAAGAGTTATCAGTGTACAGAAACAGGAGTATCGACGAGAAGAAGAGTTTATATCTAGTGTAGATAAGAGACGGGTCTGAGAAGATGAAGAAGATGTATAGCTGTAAGCCACCGGAAGTTGAGAAGAACGAAGAGTTGATAGTGGTAGAGAGGCACTAGGGGTTGAGAATACAGAAGTAAGATTGTATAGTGTAGAGAAAACTGTGTTCCTAGACCAGAGAAAGAAGAGTTTACTAGTTGTACGAAGACATGGAGTAGAGAAGAAAGAAGAGTTTATACGTGTATCAGAAAGATAGGATTAGGAGAAGAGACCAAATAGTTTATCACTGTACTCGAGTCTAAATTCGGTCTGAGAATAAAACGCATTGTCAATAGTTGTAGAGAAGATCACACAGACAGGATTAGAGAGAGAATGGGACATTGTTTATCAGTGTATAGTAATGACAGGGGTTTGAGAAGACGAAATGAAGAGGGTATAGTGTAGAGAAACAGGAGTCAGAGATAAGAGAAGAGATTGTTATTATTGTAATAGAAGACAAGGGGTTTCGAAGAGAAGAAGAGTGTATAGTGTAGAGAAGGGTAAGTGATGTTTCTGAGACCGCTACTCTGTGCGTTCTGAAAGCTGCCAAACACTGCACATTTATAATCACTTTCCGGTAGACCCCTCCGCTGTTGTCATAAAAGTCAAGGGTGATAAACTTTTGTTTGTGCAGAGGGAACCCTGTCCCATGCTTCTCGTCCCTTTTAGGGAGAGGGGTCTCTTGCGCCGTCCACTTTTTGCATATATCATGCTCTCTTTGCTGAATGGCAAACAGAACACTGCCTCTTCAAAACACTTCATTTTTCATGGAAATCTTTTCCCCCTTTGTCACCCAATGATAAAGCATATGTTTTTGGGAATTGAGAAACATGTTGTCAAAACATAAATGGAAGCATAATATATTCACATTAACAACATCATCCAGTGAAGGACTCAGAGTGGAGATATGGCTTCATCCTGGCTCTGGGTCCAAGACTAGTGGAGATATGGCTTCATCCTGGCTCTGGGTCCAAGACTAGTGGAGATAAGGCTTCATCCTGTCTCTGGGTCCAAGACTAGTGGAGATATGGCTTCATCCTGGCTCTGGGTCCAAGACTAGTGGAGATATGGCTTCATCCTGGCTTTGGGTCCAAGACTAGTGGAGATAATGCTTCATCCTGGCTCTGGGTCCAAGACTAGTGGAGATATGACTTCATCCTGGCTCTGGGTCCAAGACTAGTCGAGATATGGCTTCATCCTGGCTCTGGGTCCAAGACTAGTTTAGATATGGCTTCATCCTGGCTCTGGGTCCAAGACTAGTGGAGATAAGGCTTCATCCTGGCTCTGGGTCCAAGACTAGTTGAGATATTACTTCATCCTGGCTCTGGGTCCAAGACTAGTGGAGATATGGCTTCATCCTGGCTCTGGGTCCAAGACTAGTGGAGATATGGCTTCATCCTGGCTCTGAGAGACAAAACACATAGAGAGACAAAAACACATTTTCCTTCTATGGTATGGCCAGTAATACATCTAAATATACTGTGTCTGTAATGGTTTTGTCCCCTTCTCTTCCAGGCTACATGGAGGTTGTTCAGATACCAAGGGGGTCAGTCCACATAGAAATCAAAGAAATTGCCATGTCCAAAAACTACATTGGTAAGTGATCTCTTTCATACACTATAAAATGAAACCAACAAGAAAAGTGACCATCATCAAATCAAATCAAATCAAGTTGTATTGGTCACATACACATATTTAGCAGATGTTATTGCGGGTGTAGCGAAATCATTATAAGAACTAAGACACATTATTTTGATGATCCTTTATTTCTTTACATTCTATCCCTCTGTGAATGTTACAAGTCATTATGGCCTGTCCTTAACTCCACATAACTTTTGAACTGTCATGTTGTATAATGATTAGAAGACAGGCGCAGGAATACATATTAGGGGTTTTATTACTCCACCCAACACAAACACGTATATATATACAAAATGGATGTAACCCAAACAAAGAGCGAGGTGTAACCTCTACACAATACACGGGACGAGACCCGTAAACAACCAAAGCAGAATACACGGTACTCACGAGACCAATGGACATGGGACAATAATGGACAAGGACAATGGGGAACAGAGGGCACATATATACACATATAAATCAGGGGAAATGGGAACCAGGTGTGCGTAATGAGACAAGACAGTCCGGGGTTGGTGGTAATGATCCATGTCAGTGACGCCTAGAAAGCCGGTGACGTAGACCTCCGGAACTGGTGAACGAAATGAGCAGCAGTACCGGGGGGATCCGTGACAGTGTGAAATCAACATGTTTAATATTAGCAGTTTGGTTCAGTTCTTTGTTTAAAGATCCAGTCTTCCTCATCCCTTAGTGCTTCTAGAGCAGAGCAGACGATGCCATGAAGTAGTTTTAACTCACACTAAATTAATAGCTTCAACATTATAAAAACGATTCAGTGCATGTCCAGTGGTAGTCTTGGCGTTGGTCTCTCACTCTTAGTTCCAGACTAAACAGAAAAACAATCAAACAAGATGATTTAATATAGTGTTGTTGTCTGGTATGACATTAACTAGAGCTGTGTGACAGAGTGGTGAGGTTTACTGCTGAGGGTGTTGATGGAGAACTGAAGTCAGGCTTTGATAACGTCAGGCGTCGTTACAGTTACAGCCCTGTGGTGACAGCCCTGTGGTGACAGCTCTGTGGTGACAGCCCTGTGATGATAGCTCTGTGGTGACAGCCCTGTGATGACAGCTCTGTGGTGACAGCCCTGTGGTGACAGCTCTGTGGTGACAGCTCTGTGGTGATAGCTCTGTGGTGACAGCCCTGTGATGACAGCTCTGTGGTGACAGCCCTGTGATGACAGCTCTGTGGTGACAGCCCTGTGATGACAGCTCTGTGGTGACAGCCCTGTGATGACAGCTCTGTGGTGACAGCCCTGTAGTGACTGAGGCCCTCATGGATTCAAGTGGATACAATGATGTATATAAAACATATAAACATATAAAAGTTGTTGTTTTATCCAAGTTTAACGATTGGCACTTTGTGTCCTATTGTGTAGACTGCACTCTCTATTTCCCTTCCAAGTAATGTATGATTTTCTAACGAATATACTGTATGTGTGACAGACCCCAAAGGGTATGGGAGTATCTGGTCTTTGTAATGTTGTGTGATGCTGCCTTTAGCAGTAAAGATGGACTGAGAGCTGACCATTTTCGCAGTGAAGATGGACTGAGAGCTGACCATTTTAGCAGTAAAGATGGACTGAGAGCTGACCATTTTAGCAGTAAAGATGGACTGAGAGCTGACCATTTTAGCAGAGAAGATGAACTGAGAGCTAACCATTTTAGCAGTGAAGATGGACACATTTTCTATGTGTAGATGAGGTGGCAGTAAAGACTGAACTCTAGGCTATCCCCCGAAACAGTAAAATAAATATTGTTGTAGTAAAGTGCGTAAATGCTGTGAAGTGCATACGCACGAGGAATGAGCTAGAGAAACAGAGAGAGGCAGGAGATGAGAGGGAGAGGTAGATAAGAGGAGAGAGAGAGAGAGGGGGAAGAGAGATAGGGAGAGAGAGAGGAAGATAGAGGGGGGAGATATCTTGAGGGTTCATTATTTGATAGATTCCGCTCCTCCATCTTAGCGAGAGTCGCTAGGTCTATTTGTTCCACAATCATCCGGTCTTAAAACCCCTTATTATAATCTCCACGACCCAGATTTTCTTTCTCCTCTCCTCTTCTCTTTCTCTCTCTCTCTCTTTTCTCTCTCTCTCTCTGCTCCTTCGCTCTCCTCCTCTCTCCCCTCTCTCTCTCTCCGCGTCCTCTCTTTCTTCTCTCCGTCTCTCCTGCTTTTTTCTCTGTTTTCTTCTCTCTCTGATAGAGAGCCAAAATTTCTAATCTTCTTATACATCTGGATACTTCTCCTCGACTTCCCCTCCCTCTCTCCTGCTCCTTCCGTCTCTCTCTCCCCTCGTCTCTCTCGCTCCCCTCTCTCTCTCTCTCCCCTTCTCCCTATATCTCTCTCTCTCCTCGCCTCCTCTCTTTTCTCTCCTCTTTACGTCTCTTTTCTCTCTCCTTCTTTTCTCTCTCTCTCTCTCTCTCCTCTCTCTCCCTCTTCTCTACTTCTCTCTCTCTGCTCCCTTCTCTCTTTCTCCTCTCTCCGCTTCCCCTCGCCCCCTCCTCTCTCCTCTTCTCTCTTCTTTCTCTCTCTCTCTCCTCCTTTTTCTCTCTCGTTTTCTCTGCCTCCCCTCTCTCTCTCTCCTCCTCTCGCTCTCTCTCTCTTCTCTCCTCCTCTCTCTTGCTTTTTCTTCTCTCTCCTCTCTCTTTTTTCTCTTCGCTCTCTCTCCTCTCTCTCCTCCCCTCTCTCTCTCCTCCCTCTCTCGCCTCCCCTCTCTTTCTCCCCTCTGTCCTCTCTCTCCCTCTCTCTTTCCTCTCCCGCTCCTCGCCTTTCTGCTGTCCCGAGCGTTTCTCTCTTTTGCCCCTTTGAGAGATAACCATAGAGGGCGAGCGATTTCACCCTGAGAAAGTGGATATTTGAGATGTGTTGTGCTTGGAGATGACTCCTTTGTTTTGACGACTAGCAGGAATGGTATTCATGGGATTCTTCCAGGCTTTCACCTGAAGTGTGGGGGTGTGTGTGTGCTTTTTCTCTTTCCTTCTGAAAGGTGAGAGAGTCTGTGTGATTGTGTGTGTGGGGGGGGGGGGGGGGGGGGGGGGCTCCGGTCAGGGGGCTCCAGGATGAAGATAATGATGAATGATGACGATGACATCACACCAAAACATTACCACAACTTGTTGTCTTGGCTACCGTTCCTGGGCAGTCTTTGGCTCAATACTCTTATCATCATTTGAACAGGCTGCTATTATAGCTGTAGGGGGTTCAGTGAACTACGCTTAACACTGCCTATGAGCTGAAGACTTGTCTTAGCTTCTCCAGCAAAAACCTCCTACCTAGACTTTATCTCAGTGGGCTAACACAGTGTTGTGTGTTCAAATCCAGCTAGTAACCCTCTTCTATCTGTGGCCTCCTGTAGCTCTGAAGTCGGAGGGAGATGACTACTACATCAACGGAGCGTGGACCATCGACTGGCCCAGGAAGTTTGACATCGCAGGGACGGCGTTTCACTACAAGAGACCCCTTGACGAACCCGAGTCAATAGAGGCCCTGGGAGCCACCACGGAAAACCTAGTCGTCATGGTAACCACACTTTGCTGTTTTGTTTTGTGTCAGGTAAACAATGTGGGAGGGCTTTGCCTTTTTGGCACAGAAAGACACAGAAGTGCTTTTTCAGGCATCTTTCAGCCTACCGGGTGTCTTTAGTCTATTTGGGAGGTGGAGAGATGGGGGGTTTCCATGGAAAAGGGAATTTCACAAAGACAACCTTCAGATGTTACCCACCCATAGAGAAATGGGCCATTGTTGTTTGTACTGTCTAGAGAGATTGTCAGTTTGAATTCACATAAAGCCCAACAGCTGCTCCTAGCAAACCTTAGCTGACCTCCAGACAAGTAAGACCATGGTGGTTTGGGGTTAACAGCTATATATATATGTGGATATTGAAAAAGCAATTTCTGGCTAAATTCAAATGCACATGGGCATGTGTTTTGGTGAGGGTGTGTGTTTGTGTGTGCAAGCGTTTTCTGGCATGTGAAAGTCTGAGTGTGTAAGTACACAGACTGTGTGTGTGTGTGTGTGTGTGTGTCTGTGTGCATGTGGGTGTAATGGAATGTGTGAGCATCTGCGTGTGTGCGTTTGCATTTCTGTGTGTGTGTTGTTCGTTGTGTGTGTTTCTCTAAGCCGTCCCACTCAATGGCCCTTAGGACCACAGTGGCTTTTCTCTGGACATGAAATACCAGACCCCACAGCACCACTGGAATAGGGCTGGGGTTAACCCAGTTAGGGTTAAGAATAGACAGAGCTGTCCATCCCACCACAGGCCATTCCTTTGTGCAACTGAAAGCTGTGCATAATTCTGGTCCCTTTCTGCATCACATACGCTAACATAAACACAGTGGATAACATTAGAGTCTCTGCTTCAATATAGAAGAGAAACAGCAAATAACTTTACTGGGGGTATTTTCTGTGGATTAAGGTTTGGGTCAATTCCATTTCAGTTTAATTTCAGTTTATTCAAATTCAGAAACGTTTTAAATATTTTTTATTTAACCTTTATTTTGACAGGGAAGTCATGACATGAAAGAATGCCCTTGAAAGGATTTGAAATGGAACTGAAACCAATGCTATAAATGCATGTAATCAAATAATGTATTCGTCTCACCTCCAGGTTCTTCTCCAGGAACAGAACATGGGGATCCGTTATAAGTTCAACGTTCCCATCCAGAGGACAGGAAGTGGAGACAATGAGGTGGGCTTCTCCTGGCACCATCTGGCCTGGTCCGACTGCTCCACCACCTGCGCTGGAGGTAGGCACTGCACCAACCACATGCCCATGTACACTGGGTGTACAAAACATTAGGAACACCTGCTCTTTCCATGACTGACCAGGTAAATCCAGGTGAAAGCTATGATCCCTTAAGTGTTAAATCCACTTCAATCAATGTAGATGAAGGGGAAGAGACAGGTTAAAGAAGGATTTTTAAGCCTTGAGACAATTGAGACATGGATTGTGTATGTGTGCCATTCAAAGGATGAATGGGCAAGACAAAATATTTAAGTGCCTTTGAACAGGGTTCAAGCAAAGACTGGGGGTCAGCCTGATGAACCAAACTACCTAGTAGTCTCCTCCATGAAGACTGGGGGTCAGCCTGATGAACCAAACTACCCAGTAGTCTCCTCCATGAAGACTGGGGGTCAGCCTGATGAACCAAACTACCCAGTAGTCTCCTCCATGAAGACTGGGGGTCAGCCTGATGAACCAAACTACCCAGTAGTCTCCTCCATGAAGACTGGGGGTCAGCCTGATGAACCAAACTACCCAGTAGTCTCCTCCATGAAGACTGGGGGTCAGCCTGATGAACCAAACTACCCAGTAGTCTCCTCCATGAAGACTGGGGGTCAGCCTGATGAACCAAACTACCCAGTAGTCTCCTTCATGAAGACTGGGGGTCAGCCTGATGAAACAAACTACCCAGTAGTCTCCTCCATGAAGACTGGGGGTCAGCCTGATGAACCAAACTACCCAGTAGTCTCCACCATGAAGACTGGGGGTCAGCCTGATGAACCAAACTACCCAGTAGTCTCCTCCATGAAGACTGGGGGTCAGCCTGATGAACCAAACTACCCAGTAGTCTCCTCCATGAAGACTGGGGGTCAGCCTGATGAACCAAACTACCCAGTAGTCTCCTCCATGAAGACTGGGGGTCAGCCTGATGAACCAAACTACCTAGTAGTCTCCTCCATGAAGACTGGGGGTCAGCCTGATGAACCAAACTACCCAGTAGTCTCCTCCATGAAGACTGGGGGTCAGCCTGATGAACCAAACTACCCAGTAGTCTCCTCCATGAAGACTGGGGGTCAGCCTGATGAACCAAACTACCCAGTAGTCTCCTTCATGAAGACTAGGGGTCAGCCTGATGAACCAAACTACCCAGTAGTCTCCTCCATGAAGACTGGGGGTCAGCCTGATGAACCAAACTATCCAATAATCCCCTCCATGTAGCCTAACTCTTACACTCACACACACACATAATCACACGTTTTTTCTTGTATACTGAGTATATAATCTACAATTATAATTAATATGCTTTGTTTAACTGATTTAACAAACATTGTTTTTTGTACTTATATTTGTGGTGTGGTTTTCATATCAGCCCTTTTGGGCTTCCAACCTCACCTGCAAACCGTTTTTACCCGTTCTTTATCTGTACTGTTTTGTTTTTCACTTATTTTCTTTGGCGCGAATAAATAAAACCCAAAAGCTAAAAGCCAATGTTTGGTATACTCAGTGTATGTCTCTGTCCTGGCTCCTTTTCAGTAGCCACCAAACAGGAGAAAACATTTTGAAACTGGGAGGTACTTGAAGTTATCCAATAAAGAAGCGGATTTCTGCTTTCTGTTGCAAAACAGTTTGGCTACGCTCAACATTGTACCCTACTGAACACATCACTGGAAATATGGAGACTCTGGGGAGCATTAATCTAGGTGTCAGACATGACAGTGCTGTTCTAGCTATCTGTTAATGGAATAGGGCGGCGGCTAGCCTAGTGGTTAGTGCGTTGGGCCAGTAACCGAAAGGTGGTTCTAATACCTGAGCCTAGAAGGTGAAAAATCTATCGACGTGCCCTTGAGCAAGGCACTTAACCCTAATTTGCTCCATGGGCGCTGTACTACTATGGCTGATGCTGTAAAACAACAAATTTCACCGCGTATGTGACAGTACAACATATTTTATTTTTCTTTAGAATATGTTTACATTTGTATTGTTTTCTTTTAAATAACAGTAGCTTTCTCCAACATGAGATACATTGTATCTTCTGTGTGTGTGTCTTTCCAATCCTAACCAACCAATACTTATCGAAATACTGGAGAATATTGTGGGGCTAACCCAGTATGATACTTTGACATGGGTGTGTAGGATCATAACATTATTGCTTTCTGAATGTAGATTTAGCTTTTAAGAAAAACCTAATATGTGTTTTACATATTAAAGCCAGGCACAATAATATGGTGTAATTTCTATGAATGAGCTGCTTTGAATGTCTTCTGGTTAACCAGGGCTAGCTAGCATACAGTCTGGCTTGCCAGAGATACAGCGGCTGTGGGGAGAGAGAGACAAGCCAAACACACAGATGACTGCTGCTCCAAAACCCTTGTCCTACTGCATACTGAAACCTCCTAACTCTGAAACCACAGCGAAATGTCCACCACTGCCTCAACAATGACTAAACCAAATAATTTTACCCACAAAAGCAATGGGCTTTTATGAAACAATAAATAATGTTCCTCTCTAGAATGGCCACTAAATGCCAGCAATATTCTAGCAACAAAAAAAAACACACGAGAAGTTAAAAAAAATTACAAAGTTGAAGTCGGAAGTTTACATACACTTAGGTTGGAGTCATTAAAACTCGTTTTTCAACCACTCCACAAATGTCTTGTTAACAAACTATAGTTTTGGCAAGTCGGTTAGGACATCTACTTTGTGCATGACACAAGTAATTTTTCCAACAATTGTTTACAGACAGATTATTTCACTTATAATTCACTGTATCACAATTCCAGTGGGTCAGAAGTTTACATACACTAAGTTGACTGTGCCTTTAAACAGCTTGGAAAATTCCAGAAAATGATGTCATGGCTTTAGAAGCTTCTGATAGGCTAATTGACATAATTTGAGTCAATTGGAGGTGTACCTGTGGATGTATTTCAAAGCCTATCTTCAAACTCAGTGCCTCTTTGCTTGACATCATGGGAAAATCAAAAGAAATCAGCCAAGACCTCAGAAAATAGACCTCCACAAGTCTGGTTCGTCCTTGGGAGCAATTTCCAAACGCCTGAAGGTACCACGTTCATCGGTACAAACAATAGTACGCAAGTATAAACACCATGGGACCACGCAGCCGTCATACCGCTCAGGAAGGAGACGCGTTCTGTCTCCTAGAGATTAACATACTTTGGTGCGAAAAGTGCAAATCAATCCCAGAACAACAGTAAAGGACCTTGTGAGGATGCTGGAGGAAACAGGTACAAAATTATCTATATCCACAGTAAAACGAGTCCTATATCGACATAACCTGAAAGGCCGCTCAGCAAGGAAGAAGCCACTGCTCCAAAACCGCCATTAAAAAGCCAGACTACGGTTTACAACTGCACAGCACAAAGATCGTACCTTTTGGAGAAATGTCCTCTGGTCTGAACTGTTTGGCCATAATGACCATCGTTATGTTTGGAGGAAAAAGGGGGTGCTTGCTAGTCGAAGAACACCATCCCAACCGTGAAGCACGGGGGTGGCAGCATCATACTGTGGGGTGCTTTGCTGCAGGAGGGACTGGTGCACTTCACAAAATAGATGGCATCATGAGGAAGGAAAATGATGTGGATATATTGAACCAACATCCCAAGACATCAGTCAGGAAGTTAAAGCTTGGTCGCAAATGGGTCTTCCAAATGGACAATGACCCCAAGCATACTTCCAAAGTTGTGGCAAAATGGCTTAAGGACAACAAAGTCCAGGTATTGGAGTGGCCATCACAAAGCCCTGACCTCAATCCTATAGAAAATTTGCGGGCAGAACTGAAAAAGCGTTTGCGAGCAAGGAGTCCTACAATCCTGACTCAGTTACACCAGCTCTGTCAGGAGGAATGGGCCAAAATTCACCCAACTTATTGTGGGAAGCTTGTGGAAGGCTACCCGAAATGTTTGACCCAAGTTAAACAATTTAAAGGCAATGCTACCAAATACTAATTGAGTGTATGTAAACTTCTGACCCACTGGGAATGTGATGAAAGAAATAATAGCTGAAATAAATCATTCTCTCTACTATTATTCGGACATTTCACATTCTTAAAATAAAGTGGTGATCCTAACTGACCTAAGACAGGGAATTTTTACTAGGATTAAATGTCAGGAATTGTGAAAAACTGAGTTTAAATGTATTTGGCTAAGGTGTATGTAAACTTCCAACTTCAACTGTATGTGCATATGTCATTACACCGGTCAGACCAGTATGGTGTAGGATAGGTCCCATGAGACCCCATAGAGAGGGCACATACTCACACACACACACACACACACACACACATACACACACAGAGGGTTGGATGACAGCGATACGGTAGCTATCAGAGTCTGCGCCAGCAGCCAAAGTAAAGAGCTGCAGCTCTGTAAAAGTTATCCTGCAAGGCACCAGGCATTTACACGTCTGGGTCTACTACAGACTAAAACCATACCTTACTTCTCCACCCAAACACAGACACACAGGACACACTGCAGCGTATGGACTGCCTGTTGCACTCTGGGTCACGTGCAGGAGAATAACAAGGTGATTTCGGTACTGTATTTTCTTACATTTTCAGGAATCAGTAGTTAATCAGGGACATGGTTGTTGTGTGGGTTTTTGCTCCTCTTCTCTGTAAGTCTCTTAAGCCAGACGGCTTACTTCTGCGATCTTTGAATGCAGTTGCCTATAGGCTTACGTTGCTCCAAGGCCGTGGATGTCCCAGGCTACTTCTCTGTCAGGGTTCTCAGGAAGTGGTGCATCACACAGTAAGAGGCTGGACATTAACTGGGTGTTGTGTTGTGTTTGTACTCCCTTCTCTGCTAGGTTCCCAGAAGCAGGGAGTGGTGTGTAAGCGTCTGGATGATAACTCGGTGGTGCAGAACAGCTACTGTGACCCAGACAGCAAACCTCCAGGGAACCAGAGGTCCTGCAACACTGAACTCTGCCCCACAGAGTACGTACAGTAATACTGCTCAATACAGTACTATACAGGACAATACGGCTCAATACAGTACTATACAGGACAATACGGCTCAATACAGTACTATACAGCACAATACGGCTCAATACAGTACTCTACAGGACAATACGGTTCAATACAGTACTATACAGCACAATACGGCTCAATACAGTACTATACAGGACAATACGGCTCAATACAGTACTATACAGGACAATACGGTTCAATACAGTACTATATATTTAATCATTTCTGTCCTCCGAATTCATATTAATTATACAGTGGGGAGAACAAGTATTTGATACACTGCCAATTTAGCAGGTTTTCCTAGTTACAAAGCATGTAGAGGTCTGTAATTTTTATCATAGGTATACTACAACTGTGAGAGACGGAATCTAAAACAAAAATCCAGAAAATCACATTGTATGATTTTTAAGTAATTAATTTGCATTTTATTGCATGACATAAGTATTTGATACATCAGAAAAGCAGAACTTAATATTTGGTACAGAAACCTTTGTTTGCAATTACAAAGATCATACGTTTCCTGTAGGTCTTGACCAGGTTTGCACACACTGCAGCAGGGATTTTGGCCCACTCCTCCATACAGACCTTCTCCAGATCCTTCAGGTTTCGGGGCTGTCGCTGGGCAATACAGACATTCAGCTCCCTCCAAAGATTTTCTATTGGGTTCAGGTCTGGAGACTGGCTAGGCCACTCCAGGACCTTGAGATGCTTCTTACGGAGCCACTCCTTAGTTGCCCTGGCTGTGTGTTTCGGGTCATTGTCATGCTGGAAGACCCAGCCACGACCCATCTTTAATACTCTTACTGAGGGAAGGAGGTTGTTGGCCAAGATCTCGCGATACATGGCCCCATCCATCCTCCCCTCAATACGGTGCAGTCGTCCTGTCCCCTTTGCAGAAAAGCATCCCCAAAGAATGATGTTTCCACTTCCATGCTTCACGGTTGGGATGGTGTTCTTGGGGTTGTACTCATCCTTCTTCTTCCTCCAAACACGGCGAGTGGAGTTTAGACCAAGAAGCTCTATTTTTGTCTCATCAGACCACATTACCTTCTCCCATTCCTCCTCTGGATCATCCAGATGGTCATTGGCAAACTTCAGACGGGCCTGGACATGCGCTGGCTTGAGCAGGGGAACCTTGCGTGCGCTTCAGGATTTTAATCCATGACGGCGTAGTGTGTTACTAATGGTTTTCTTTGAGACTGTGGTCCCAGCTCTCTGCAGGTCATTGACCAGGTCCTGCCGTGTAGTTCTGGGCTGATCCCTCACCTTCCTCATGATCATTGATGCCCCACGAGGTGAGATCTTGCATGGAGCCCCAGACCGAGGGTGACTTCTTCCATTTTCTAATAATTGCGCCAACAGTTGTTGCCTTCTCACCAAGCTGCTTGCGTATTGTCCTGTAGCCCATCCCAGCCTTGTGCAGGTCTACAATTGTATCCCTGATGTCCTTATACAGCTCTCTGGTCTTGGCCATTGTGGAGAGGTTGGAGTCTGTTTGATTGAGTGTGTGGACAGGGGTCTTTTATACAGTTAACGAGTTCAAACAGGTGCAGTTAATACAGGTAATGAGTGGAGAGCAGGATGGCTTCTTAAAGAAAAACTAACAGGTCTGTGAGAGCCGGAATTCTTACTGGTTGGTAGGTGATCAAATACTTATGTCATGCAATAAAATGCAAATTAATTACTTAAAAATCATACAATGTGATTTTCTGGATTTTTGTTTTAGATTCCGTCTCTCTCACAGTTGAAGTGTACCTATGATAAAAATGACAGACCTCTACATGCTTTGTAAGTAGGAAAACCTGCAAAATCGGCAGTGTATCAAATACTTGTTCTCCCCACTGTATAAATGAAATGTGGTCCTCTGTAGCTCAATTGGTAGAGCATGGTGCTTGTAACGCCAGGGTAGTGGGTTCGATCCCCGGGACCACCCATACGTAAAAATTTATGCGCACATGACTGTAAGTCGCTTTGGATAAAAGCGTCTGCTAAATGGCATATTATTATTATTATTATATTATTATTATTATGATTATTATTATTATTATACAGAACAATACGGCTCAATACAGTACTATACAGCACAATACAGCTCAATACAGTACTATACAGGACAATACGGCTCAATACAGTACTATACAGGACAATACGGCTCAATACAGTACTATACAGCACAATATGGCTCAATACAGTACTATACAGGACAATACGGTTCAATACAGTACTATACAGGACAATACAGCTCAATACAGTACTATACAGCACAATACGGCTCAATACAGTACTATACAGGACAATACGACTCAATACAGTACTATACAGGACAATACGGTTCAATACAATACAGGACAATACGGCTCAATACAGTACTATACAGGACAATACGGTTCAATACAGGACAATACGGCTCAATACAGTACTATACAGGACAATACGGCTCAATACAGTACTATACAGCACAATACGGCTCAATACAGTACTATACAGGACAATACGGCTCAATACAGTACTATACAGGACAATACAGCTCAATACAGTACTATACAGCACAATACGGCTCAATACAGTACTATACAGGACAATACGGCTCAATACAGTACTATACAGCACAATACGGCTCAATACAGTACTATACAGGACAATACGGCTCAATACAGTACTATACAGGACAATACGGTTCAATACAATACAGGACAATACGGCTCAATACAGTACTATACAGGACAATACGGTTCAATACAGGACAATACGGCTCAATACAGTACTATACAGGACAATACGGCTCAATACAGTACTATACAGCACAATACGGCTCAATACAGTACTATACAGGACAATACGGCTCAATACAGTACTATACAGGACAATACAGCTCAATACAGTACTATACAGCACAATACGGCTCAATACAGTACTATACAGGACAATACGGCTCAATACAGTACTATACAGCACAATACGGCTCAATACAGTACTATACAGGACAATACGGTTCAATACAATACAGGACAATACGGCTCAATACAGTACTATACAGGACAATACGGTTCAATACAGGACAATACGGCTCAATACAGTACTATACAGGACAATACGGCTCAATACAGTACTATACAGCACAATACGGCTCAATACAGTACTATACAGGACAATACGGCTCAATACAGTACTATACAGGACAATACAGCTCAATACAGTACTTTACAGGACAATACGGCTCAATATAGTGCTATACATTTACATTTACATTTTAGTCATTTAGCAGACGCTCTTATCCAGAGCGACTTACAGTTAGTGAGTGCATACATTATTTTTTCATACTGGCCCCCCATGGGAATCGAACCCACAAACCTGGCATTGCAAACGCCATCCCTGCCGGCCAACAGGACAATACGGTTCAATACAGTACTATACAGGACAATACGGCTCAATACAGTACTATACAGGACAATACGGTTCAATACAGTACTATACAGGACAATACGGCTCAATACAGTACTATACAGCACAATACGGCTCAATACAGTACTATACAGGACAATACGGTTCAATACAGTACTATACAGGACAATACGGCTCAATACAGTACTATACAGGACAATACGGCTCAATACAGTACTATACAGGACAATACGGCTCAATACAGTACTATACAGGACAATACGGTTCAATACAGTACTATACAGGACAATACGGCTCAATACAGTACTATACAGGACAATATGGCTCAATACAATACAATACAGGGATCACTTACAGTCAGACCCGTCGCCAGACCTCAGTCTTAAGGGGGGCATATGAAATGCATGGGAGGGCAGGGCACAATTATTATTAGCCTACAGTACGTATATTTATAATAATCGTATACTCTATTTGCGCAGCACGTAATCATCACATTAAACATAACCAACAGAGAACAGTCGGCATAGCCTGAAGTGCACAGTTGAATGTGCTGAGGATGTTGGCTATTGTCCATTTTCCATCTTCGGGGGGAACCAGGGTGTCAGTCATTTTCTTCACCAGGAACTCACGAGCCACAGTATATTCAGATTCAACCACATCAGTTCCACTTAATACCAGGAGAGGGGTTACCTTTGATGGGTCCAGGAAATTACCCTCGGCCTCTGGGTTCAAAGCAGCCAGTGCGCCAATGAGCTCGCTACTGCGCTCTCCAAAACGCGCATTAATCTCTCCTTGCACAGCATCGATAACACTGTAAAACAATCTCATGAACTCAGTCTTTTCATCTATGTCACTTTGTGGCTGACCAACTGTTTCTTCAACTGCAAATCCGCGGAGGTTCTTATTAATTGTGAGTCTTCTCTTGCTTGGACCAGGGTCAGTCACCGGCACAGCCTCGGTGGCCGATGCTGGAGGAGCGCAGAGTTCCCACAGTGTCTTCACGCAGTCAGAAGCGCTGTTCACGAGTGTCACCGCAGTGAACAAGTCCATATCTTCGGCCTGTAGTAGTCTGTTAGGCGGCTCCAAAAGTGACAACAGTTTCATAACAAGGTGCGCAATGAAAAGAAAACTGCGCTGCGTAATGGCACGAAGCAGCCCCGTAGCCTCGACGCGCACCTCCGCTCCAAGGCCTCGTGTGTTTTCCACCTCGGTCAGTAATGTGGATATGTCGTGAAAACGCTTCACCACAACTTTGACCGTTGCCAAGTGGCCAGTCCATCTCTGGTCCAAGAGACGTTTCAGGGTATCGCCTTTGTACAGAATAGCCACGGTTGGCTTCCTGATGAAGTTGTATGTTGCATACTCCAAAAAAATAATCGACAGCTGCTTCACTGGACAAGGCATGAATCACAACCAGATGAAGTTGGTGATTAAAGCAGTGAATATATGGTATGTTACGATCCAGCTTGTTTTGGAGCAATTTCTGCACACCACCATGCCTGCCAGACATGAGTGATGCGCCATCATAAACTTGACTCAGGATTTTGTCCGTGCTGAGTCCGGCGCTGGTGAGCTCATCAATGATGACACCTGTCAGAGCCTCTGCATCACCTTTCTCAGATGTGACCATTACCAAGAGGCGCTCACACAGACCATAGTTTTTGTCAACAAAACGCACAACTACAGATATGTTTTCTTGGCCTAAAGGATCCCGTGTGCCATCCACTTTAATTGAATACCAGCTATCGCCGACTTGTCTCACTATCTCCTCTGTCACGAGTTTGCTCATCATTTCGATAATCTCATTTTGTATCTGTGGGCTGGTATAGCGTGCATTCTGTGGGATTGTTTTTGTAATCCGTGTCAGTTCGGGATCTTTGCGCATGGTGTACTCAAAGAGAGACAAAAACAGCCCCATTGAGCTATTATCATCTAGCGCACTGGCAAAACCAGCTTTATATCCACGTAACAGCAATTGATTCACCACTAAAAACTCCAGCATATCAATTACAGCTGACATGTAGTCTCTCTACGTTTTTCTGAATCTCTCCACATTGCTTCACAGGCTAAATGTTATTTTGAAGCTGCATGCTTATTTAAGCCCTTGCCTGTTCCAATTGCATGTTTCCAATCATTAAATCCCTTAATGGAGAAGGTTGCGTCCGATGATACAGATTTGAATTTCCTGCAGGCATAACAAAATGCGGAGTCCTTTTCCACCGAGTACTCAAGCCAGTCCCTGTTCAAATACCAGCTAGAGGAAAATGATCGTTTTTTTTTACCAAACATTTTGACTGGATATTTCCTCAACACAACCTGTTTGGGTTTGTCCATGCCGAGGTCACTCACACCCACTGATTCAACAGGCAGTTGTGGCCCAAATGCTGCCCCAGTCGCGGTTGCACTTGACCTGCAGGTCCTGCCAGGCCCAGGGTCGGACTCCACGGAGCTACTAGCATCAGGCTCAGACTGTCGTCCAGGGTCTCCTTCTCCAACTACAACATCAGGAGCGTCGGTGTCGTATCCAATTTGGCAGAGGAGACTGTTGGTGGGCTTTTCAACCACTTACGGATATCCATGACGAACTGAAGCGAGTAAGCCGGCGAAAACTCATCCAGCTTTCAAAAATGCGCGGTAACTGTTGAGCGGCTACACTGACGTAGGCTACGTCACGTACGTAGCCTAACTTTCTTTTTATTAAGGCCGTGATAGGCTGTTGCAGTGTAGATTCCCATCAATCAAACAAAATCACACCATTGTTTCTTTATATTTTTTATGTTTTAATGATAAAGAATGCAACATTAATGCAACACAAAATTAGCAACTATTATAATATAAAATTAAAATAATCTGTGCCTTAAGTGGGGGGGGCACAAGCATTTTTGGGGGCGGGCCCGGCCCCCTATGGCCCGCCCATAGCGACGGGTGTGCTTACAGTACCTTCCCACAAGAGTATGTAAGACCCTCAGACACTGTGAACCTCATGTCCATCTTGGAACAGAAAGATAGTCCTGCTAAACTATGCTGGATGGGTGTACTGTATGCTAACTTGGCTCAGAGAAAATACTAATACTGTTGGACCTCAGGTCCACAACATGTATTACATACAACCTTTTAATGACTGACAAACATAGACCAACTAACAGTAGTTAGTGAGTGGAGTGGGTTCAGAAGATTCAGCCTTTTGGGGGCCCTAAGAGAGATTTTAGTGGCCCCCCTCTTGATGGTGGAGAGAAAGCAATTCTGCACATTTAGCCTGAGGCGGAAACAAGATTTAGCAATTGTATGACTAATTTCCTGCAATTCTCCACATTTTGCCATGACTTATGCCATGTTAATATGATATCTGAGTGAGAGTGACTAACAAAATCAATGGGGGCCCCCTGGAGGTCAGGGCCCCTGGGCACGTGCCCTTCGTGCCCGGTCGGTAATTCAGCCATGATTACTACAAGTTTAGATAGCTGGCTAGACTAATTTACCAATCTAAAAATGTTTTTCTGACATGGGCTAATTGAGTGACTGTCAGGGACTGACATAACAAGAGAAACATTTCTGATGCAGAACTACATTTCGAAACGGCACCTTGTGTATTCTAAAAGTAAGTTGAGACCCCGACTGAGTTCCTAATAAAAAAAATGAAAAAATAATAATTTGGTCCGGGGCCCCCTAGTGGCCGGGGGCCTTAAGCGACCGCTTATGTCGCCCTGAGAAGACTGACTACACAAGCATTTAGCTCCACCATAAGTTAAGGCTCTGGGTAAGAAAAATCTTTCATAAAAACGATTATGACTTGCTATATTAATTTGCCTTCAAGAAGCCCCCAAGCTGTAAAACGTTTTTTGAAGAAAATGCTAAAATAAAACGTAAATGATTTATAACTTCATATGTTTACTATTTTCAGAGCTTGTTTTATGTCAAAAAGTGGAAATGCTTAAAATGACCACCGTCTCCATTGGCCACTTGCTCTCACACTGCTGCATGTTGGGGGTCTGAGGGCCTCGGGACAGTCACTGGAGGGCTGACCTGTGTAGGAGAGACACTGCACTGTCCGCATCTGCTGGCCCAGCCCACACTGTGCCGAACACTATGGTGAAACACACACACACACACACAAACACTATTAACCACCCTGCACCAAAAACTGAACCACATAGACATTATTAATCACACTGCACCAAAAACTGAACCACATAGACATTATTAATCACACTGCACCAAACACTGAACCACATAGATATTATTAACCACCCTGCACCAAACACTGAACCACATAGACATTATTAATCACACTGCACCAAAAACTGAACCACATAGACATTATTAATCACACTGCACCAAACACTGAACCACATAGACATTATTAACCACCCTGCACCAAACACTGAACCACATAGACATTATTAATCACACTGCACCAAAAACTGAACCACATAGACATTATTAATCAAACTGCACCAAAAACTGAACCACATAGACATTATTAATCACACTGCACCAAAAACTGAACCACATAGACATTATTAATCAAACGGCACCAAAAACTGAACCACATAGACATTATTAATCACACTGCACCTAACACTGAACCACATAGACATTTTTAATCACACTGCACCAAACACTGAACCACATAGACATTATTAACCACCCTGCACCAAAAACTGAACCACATAGACATTATTAATCACACTGCACCAAAAACTGAACCACATAGACATTATTAATCACACTGCACCAAAAACTGAACCACATAGACATTATTGCACCAGGTAGCTGTGTTGTGCCAGTAACCGAAAGGTCGCTGGTTCTAATCCCCGAGCCGACTAAGTGAAAAATCTGTCGATGTGCCCTTGAGCAAGGCACCTAACCCTAATTGCTCCTGTAAGTCGCTCTGGATAAGAGCGTCTGCTAAATGACAAAAATAAAATAAAAAAATGAACCACATAGACATTATTAACCACACTGCACCAAACACTGAACACCACATAGACATTATAAATCACACTGCACCATAAACTGAACAACATAGACATTATTAATCACACTGCACCATAAACTGAACCACATAGACATTATTAATCACACTGCACTGGAACAAACACTGAACCACATAGACATTATTAAGCACATACTGCATTCAAAGACACAGACAGAGTTATTAACCCTCAACACAGCCACACTTGTAAAACTCCAACCCACTACATGTGTTAGAACTTCTAGTAACTGAGTCATTGACACAGTCAAACAGCACTTCGCTCCTGGCTGGCTGTGTCATTCTGATCACGTCCTCTATGGGCCAAGCCAAGCTTAGCCTGAGTGTGCAGATTCTCACTGCCCCCTGTTTTACTTTCTCAGTGGACACTCAGCAGTTCTGACTAATCACTAGGGATACTGTAGTTTATCCTATTAAGTCATCGTTGAGAGAGAGAGAGAGAGAGAGAGAGAGAGTTGCTTGCATGAGTTACTTGATGTGGGATAGAGTTCCGTGTAGTCATGGCTCTATCTAGTACTGTGCGCCTCCCATAGTCTGTTCTGGACTTGGGGACTCTGGTGGCATGTCTTGTGGGGTATGCATGGGTGTCCGAGCTGTGTGCCAGTAGTTAAAACAGACAGCTCGGTGTATTCAACATGTCAATCCCTCTCACAAATACAAGTACACGCACATGCATAGAACTAGAATTAACATGCATAGAAAAATAATTAACATGAATATAAATATAATTAACATTCTACATGCACAGATGATTATCAGGCCATTGGTTGAGAAAGCATTCTGTGGAATTAAGTTGTTGGCACGGTAACTCTCCTCTGTAATTATTATGACCAGGTGAATTGTTGCTATGGGAGAGGGCAGAACTGGTGGGTTCTCCTTCCTCACAGAGGCCTTAGTGTGTGTGTGTGTGTGTGTGTGTGTGTGTGTGTGTGTGTGTGTGTGTGTGTGTGTGTGTGTGTGTGTGTGTGTGTGTGTGTGTGTGTGTGTGTGTGTGTGTGTGTGTGTGTGTGCGTACGTGTGTTGTGGCCAAAAGTGCTTAGCTTCTTTGCGAGGACTCGGGGAACAGTCAGACAGAGTTCAATCATGTCTCAGATGTTCCATTGGAAAAAGAAGGATTAAATACTGTTGGCCAATGGGCTGAATGGATTAAATAATGTTGGCCAATGGGCTGAATGGATTAAATACTGTTGGCCAATAGGCTGATGGGATTAAATACTGTTGGCCAATGGGCTGAAGCGATTAAATACTGTTGGCCAATAGGCTGAAGGGATTAAATACTGTTGGCCAATGGGCTGAAGCCGTCTGCTAATAGTGGTGTGTGTGTATATGGGGGTGTATATGAGTGAGTCGTTACCTTTAGATGGGCATCTGTAATGAATTGATATGAAGTTCTGGTCTGAAGCCGTTCCTGGCTTCACCCAATGCCCAAGAAAGCTATCTTTGAACTCATAAACTCACTTCATTAAGGGCCCGGTTGACATTGGTACAAACACTTTCTATGTGTATTCAGCATGTTAGGGAATTCCTTTCTTCTCTTCTCAGAATCTCAGACAATCCCTTGTTGTCCATTGCAGTATCAAACTGAACTGCAACAAACACATGCCGTGATTTTCGAATCAGGAACGCCAACATAGTGTTCACAGTACTGTCTCAACATGAGCAGGTAAACATGATTGTTAGCAACCCAGATATTGGGATAAATTGTTCATTCTGGATACATTCCTGTAGATGATGTAAAATGGATTCAGGGCTCACAGTCTGGATATCTGTGTTAGTTGTAGTAATAATAATAATAATAATAATAATAATAATAATAATAGTACATGTGACTTATACAGCACTTTTCAAAGACCCAAAGTCACTATTAAAAAAATATATACAAAAAAAGGAGTCAAAACAATATCAGACTAAACAAAAATGTGAATAAAGAGAGGAGTGGCTCAAGGAAGGGAAAGAGTGTGATGTGTCAGTGTACTGTATGGGGAGGGGAGGGTTGGGGTTTGGATACGAACCTGGTTTAGGGTAAGGGGCAGGGTAAGGGTTTGGGTTAGTTGGTGCTCAGTGGTGTAGAGAAGACTGTATTGCTTTGCTTGTGTGTGTGTGTGTGTGTGTGTGTGTGTGTGTGTGTGTGTGTGTGTGTGTGTGTGTGTGTGTGTGTGTGTGTGTGTGTGTGTGTGTGTGTGTGTGTGTGTGTGTGTGTGTGTGTGTGTGTGTGTGTGTGTGTGTGTGTGTGTGTGTGTGTGTGTGTGTGTGTGTGTGTGTGTGTGTGTGTGTGTGTGTGTGTGTGTGTGTGTGTGTGTGTGTGTGTGTGTATCTGAAAGATGGTGATGGACTCAGAGTCATGGATGGTTGGAGGGAGGGAGTTCCAGAGCCTAGGAGCAACCCTGGAGAAGAACCTGTTCTGACCCTGTTCTATTAGGAAGGTGCTCCTAATGTTTTGTACACTCCGTGTACACCTGATACAATATGCAATTTATATCAACTGTATAATACTGTCAGCCGTATGAATAATGATCTGATCCGTATGGTTCCAATAGCTAAGTTAAAGTGACAGTTCTATTGTTGTTCTATCAATGTTGTGGTTAAGTCGTTGTTCTAATGTTGTGGTTGCAGTGGTGGAAAACGTACCCAATTGTCATACTTCAGTAAAAGTAAAGATACCTTAATAGAAAATGACTCAAGTAAAATTGAAAGTCACCCAGTAAAATACTACTTGAGTAAAAGTCTAAAAGTATTTGGTTTTAGATATACTTAAGTATCAAAAGTAAATGTAATTGCTAAAATATACTAAAGTAACAAAAGTACAAGTATAAATCATTTCACATTCCTTATACTAACGAAATCAGATTGCACTATTTTTTTTTTTTTTTATTGTATTTAAGGATAACAAGGGGTACACTTCATTTACAAACAAAGCATTTGTGTTTAGTGAGTCTGCCAGATCAGAGGCAGTAGAGATGACCAGAGAAGTGTGTGAATTGGACAATGTTCCTGCCCTGCTAAGCATTCAAAATGTAACGAGTACTTTTGGGCGTCAGAGAAAATGTATGGAATAAAAAGTACATTATTTTCTTTAGGAATGTAGTGAAGGAAAAGTTGTCTAAAATATAAATAGTAAAGTACAGATACTCCAAAAAACTACTTAAGTAATAATAATAATATGCCATTTAACAGACGCTTTTATCCAAAGCGACTTACAGTCATGTGTGCATACAGTGGGGAAAATAAGTATTTAGTCAGCCACCAATTGTGCAAGTTCTCCCACTTAAAAAAATTAGAAAGGCCTGTCATTTTCATCATAGGTACACGTCAACTATGACAGACAAAATGAGAAAACAAAATCCAGAAAATCACATTGTAGGATTTTTAATGAATTTATTTGCAAATGATGGTGGAAAATAAGTATTTGGTCAATAACAAAAGTTTCTCAATACTTTGTTATATACCATTTGTTGGCAATGACACAGGTCAAACGTTTTCTGTAAGTCTTCACAAGGTTTTCACACACTGTTGCTGGTATTTTGGCCCATTCCTCCATGCAGATCTCCTCTAGAGCAGTGATGTTTTGGGGCTGTCGCTGGGCAACACGGACTTTCAACTCCCTCCAAAGATTTTCTATGGGGTTGAGATCTGGAGACTGGCTAGGCCACTCCAGGACCTTGAAATGCTTCTTATGAAGCCACTCCTTCATTGCCCGGGCGGTGTGTTTGGGATCATTGTCATGCTGAAAGACCCAGCCATGTTTCATCTTCAATGCCCTTGCTGATGGAAGGAGGTTTTCACTCAAAATCTCACGAAACATGGCCCCATTCATTCTTTCCTTTACACGGATCAGTCGTCCTGGTCCCTTTGCAGAAAACAGCCCCAAAGCATGATGTTTCTACCCCCATGCTTCACAGTAGGTATGGTGTTCTTTGGATGCAACTCAGCATTCTTTGTCCTCCAAACACGACGAGTTGAGTTTTTACCTAAAAGTTCTATTTTGGTTTCATCTGACCATATGACATTCTCCCAATCCTCTTCTGGATCATCCAAATGCACTCTAGCAAACTTCAGACGGGCCTGGACATGTACTGGCTTAAGCAGGGGGACACGTCTGGCACTGCAGGATTTGAGTCCCTGGCGGCGTAGTGTGTTACTGATGGTAGGCTTTGTTACTTTGGTCCCAGCTCTCTGCAGGTCATTCACTAGGTCCCCCCGTGTGGTTCTGGGATTTTTGCTCACCGTTCTTGTGATAATTTTGACCCCACGGGGTGAGATCTTGCGTGGAGCCCCAGATCGAGGGAGATTATCAGTGGTCTTGTATGTCTTCCATTTCCTAATAATTGCTCCCACAGTTGATTTCTTCAAACCAAGCTGCTTACCTATTGCAGATTCAGTCTTCCCAGCCTGGTGCAGGTCTACAATTTTGTTTCTGGTGTCCTTTGACAGCTCTTTGGTCTTGTCCATAGTGGAGTTTGGAGTGTGACTGTTTGAGGTTGTGGACAGGTGTCTTTTATACTGATAACAAGTTCAAACAGGTGCCATTAATACAGGTAACGAGTGGAGGACAGAGGAGCCTCTTAAAGAAGAAGTTACAGGTCTGTGAGAGCCAGAAATCTTGCTTGTTTGTAGGTGACCAAATACTTATTTTCCACCATCATTTGCAAATAAATTCATAAAAAATCCTACAATGTGATTTTCTGGATTTTTTTTCCTCAATTTGTCTGTCATAGTTGACGTGTACCTATGATGAAAATTACAGGCCTCTCTCATCTTTTTAAGTGGGAGAACTTGCACAATTGGTGGCTGACTAAATACTTTTTTTCCCCACTGTACATTTTTACGTGTGGGTGGTCCTGGGGATCGAACCCACTACCCTGGCGTTACAAGCGCCATGCTCTACCAATTGAGCTACAGAGAAGTATTTTTACTTAAGTACTTTACACCACTGTGTGGTTGTGTTGTTGTAGGTGGTTTATCGGGGACTGGTCGGACTGTGGGAAGACGTGTGATGGCGGGATGCGGACGCGGACGGTTCTCTGTATCAGGAAGATGGGGCCTGCCGAGGAGGAGACCCTGGAGGACAGCCACTGTCTGACGCACCGGCCAATAGAACGAGAAGCCTGCAACAACCAGTCCTGCCCCCCTCAGTGGGTCACTCTGGATTGGTCAGAGGTGAGAGAAGGACTGCCCCCTTTTCACTTGTTGACATCCCAGCAGGAAAAACTGGTTGAATTAACATCATAATGTCATTGTAACCAGTTATGTCCGCTGGGATCGCTTTGAGTGACAGCAGTGGTTTCAATAGAGACCTAGAATAAATTGAATAGTTTTATTGAGCTTGTGTGTTCTACCTTCTGTCCCCCAGTGTACACCCAAATGTGGCCCTGGGTTCAAGCACCGCATCGTGCTGTGTAAGAGCAGCAACCTGACCAAGACCTTCCCCCCCGCCCACTGTCCATCCCATAACAAGCCCCCCATCAGGACCCGCTGCAGTCTGGGACGCTGTCCGCCACCTAGATGGATCCTAGGGGAATGGGGACAGGTACGATTGGTCCCCCCTTCAGAAATCATTACTTCCTTTCACTTTTCCATTCACTTCTTCAGAATAGCTTGACATTGGGGATGTCAAAACAACAACATGTTTGTAAAGGCAATTAAAATGAACTGTTCTAAGAAGAACAGACACCAAATCCCCTGTTTTGGTGAACAGTCAACAGAATTTACACTCTGATCATAAACTGGGGTCCCTAGTGCTGATCACGTGTGCCTGTCCAACCAGTCTGCCTGCAAGTGTTTGCGTGCATGCCTGTGTGTGTGTGTGTGTGATTGTGTACCGCGGCCCCAGTCAGATCTCAGCCATCCCATCAACTTGTGTCTGACCTCTGTGCCCACCGGGCCACTAGGCTAACCCTCCCTTCAGATCAGGCTCTGTGGAGCATCACATCCCAGCCTGCATGTCATCCCCTCCAAATTAGACAGTCTTTATTAAGGTCCAGCCCTGACAGATGGTCTACGTCAATGGAGGGTCTTAAGTGGGATTTGAACCAGTGACCTTTTGGCCCCCGGCAGCGAGACCGTGGAGGAAAGCACTGCCTTCACTACAATCTGCCCTTTCTACGGCTCAGGAAGAGACAGGGGTGAGAGACAGGAGGAGAGGAGGAGGTGAAGGAAGTAATTACATAGGCAAAGAGAGGCTGGAGGGAGGGAGAGGGAGATATAAATATATCTACAGTGGGGAGAACAAGTATTTGATACACTGCCGATTTTGCAGGTTTTCCTACTTACAAAGCATGTAGAGGTCTGTAATTTTTATCATATGTCCATTACATGAAATCCAAATAAAAATCCATTTAAATTACAGGTTGTAATGCAACAAAATAGGAAAAACGCCAAGGGGGAGGAATACTTTTGCAAGGCACTGTAGCACACGCAGAGAGGGAGCGCGAGAGAGAGAGAGAGCGCGAGAGAGAGCGCGCGAGAGAGAGAGAGAGAGAGAGAGAGAGAGAGAGAGAGAGAGAGAGAAGGAGAGAGAGAGAGAGATATAGAAAGAGAGATAGATAGATTAGAGATAGTAGCGATCTCCTATCTATCTAGCTTACTCGCGCGATTCGGCTTTCTTACGTTTGGTGGGTGGGGTTCAGTGTTGTCCTAAGTCCTTTCTCCAACAGACTTAAAGCTGTGGTGTTACTGGTGTATATTAGTCCTTAACCTTGGGCCGTGCTGACATTGACCCTGTCCTTTGACGGGCCACCGAGAGGTTATCAGCCATGGGCTCTATTCAGTATGTATCGTTGAAGCGTTACAGATTACGCGCTATAAATGTTAAGCTAATTTCCGATTGAGCCGACATATGCAGCGTTTACTGTGAATGCAGTCTCCGCCAACGTGGGAGCATTGCCTTTAAATGAGCCCCAGGCCTTCTGATTGAAGTGGGAGCACCGGATGTTGTTGTTTGTGTGTGAGCGTACATATGGTTGCCATTAGAACCTTGAACCAGAGCCCATGACCTCTAACCTCTGGAGTCTGACCTCTAACCCCCACTTTACTACCACAACAAAGTCCACCACTGAAATCCCACAACAAGGCCACTAAATAACATCCAGGAATATCTAGAAGTGTCCGGAGTCTGACCTCTAACCCCCACTTTACTACCACAACAAAGTCCACCACTGAAATCCCACAACAAGGCCACTAAATAACATCCAGGAATATCTAGAAGTGTCCGGAAAGTCTACTAGAGAACGTGACCAGAGAAACTCTTTCTGTAATAAGACTACTATGTTACAGACAACTAAGAGAACTACTACGGTACAGAGAATAACATTGACAGGAGAACTGTTGGGTTGCCCTGATAACCTCTAGCTGATGTAATTGACTACATAGTTCTAGCTGATGCAACTAACTACATGTTCTCTTGTGTCTCTAGCTGGTAGCTACCATCTCTCTCTTCTAATGTTGACCAGCTGACTGCAGTCTCACTGACGCCCATTAAAGAATTACTATCAATTACTATGACCTTCTTCCCAGGTCATACCAGGGTCAATTGGCCTGAACAGAAGAGAGAGAGACTCACACACACACACACACACTAAGGCCTCTCTGTGAGGAAGGAGAACCCACCAGTTCTGCCCTCTCCCATAGCAACAATTCACCTGGTCATTATAATTACAGAGAGCAGAGTTACCGTGCCAACAACTTAATTCCACAGAATGCTTTCTCAACAAATGGCCTGATAATCGTCTGTGAATGTAGAATGTTAATTATATTTCTATGCATGTTAATTCGTTTTCTATGCATGTTAATTCTTTTTCTATGCATGTTAATTATATTTCTATGCATGTTAATTATATTTCTATGCATGTTAATTATATTTCTATGCATGTGTGTGTACTGTATGTTTGTGTGTGGTCAGACTAAGTAACTTTAAACCATTCAGGAAGGCCATTCTACTTACATTGGCTTCTCAGCTCCTCAAGCCTTCTCTCGTCCTCTCCTCTCTCTCCTCTCTCTCTCTCTCTCATCGCTCTCTCTCATCTCCTCGTCTCTCTCCTCTCTTCTCCTCCTCTCTCATCTCTCTCTCTCTCTCCTCTCCGATCTTCATGCTCTCATTCTCCTCACTCCTCTACGTCTGAACTCTCGGTCCTCCACATGACATAAACGTCTCTCACTCTCAACTCCTCTCTCTCCAGCTCAGTCACCAGTCGGCTTTGATTGTCTACTCGATTCCCTGCAGTGTCCTTGCAACTCCTGCTGCTCTCATGCTCTCTCTCAGTCTCGCGTCTAGCGTCTCTGCTTCTGCTTTCTCGTGTCTTCTCATCAGCTTCTCAATCTCCTGCTCCGAGTTCATGGATTCTCAAGTTCCCAGTGATTATCGATAACCTTCAGTGTCCTGTTTAGTAACTGCTGAGTTCCATGGCTACTATGGTTGCAGTGATTCTGACCAGCCTCCAGTGGTTGGCGAAAGTGGCTGTTTGACGGGTCATAACTCGTTGTCGTTCTTTTGAACAGTAGTGGGTTGGAGTTTTACAGTGTGGCTGTGTTGAGTGTTATAACTTTGTCTGTTTCTTTTGAATGCAGTATGTGCTTAATAATGTCTATGTGGTTCAGTGTTTGTTCCAGTGCAGTGTGATTAATAATGTCTATGTGGTTCAGTGTTTGGTGCAGTTTGATTAATAATGTCTATATGGTTCAGTGTTTGGTGCAGTGTGATTAATAATGTCTATGTGGTTCAGTGTTTGGTGCTGTTTGATTAATAATGTCTATGTGGTTCAGTGTTTGGTTTAGTTTGATTAATAATGTCTATGTGGTTCAGTGTTTGGTGCAGTTTGATTAATAATGTCTATGAGTTATGTCGCACATGCAGCTAACAAAAACATATGGAAATGTCTGCTCTACTCAAAATTACAACGAAATAATTGCAGCCTTACCACAAAAGTGGAAGAGGAAAGTGGAAGGGGAGAAGAAAGTAAGGAACTTGTCTGTCGGCCTTGCATTAAAGAACATAATTGGTTAAGGAAAACTGTGATAAATAAAAAAGTATTTGAGTTTCACTTAAGGACCAAAGGATTGACAGCCGTCCCATATAAATTGCAAAATAGTTGGGAAGAGATTTTTGACGTGCCGATCCCATGGCATAGTGTTTATGAACTGACACGCAAAACAACACCGGATTCAAAAATTAGAATCTTTCAATTTAAATTATTATATAAAATTCTTGCTACCAATAGAATGTTATTTATATGGGGGATACAATCTTCCCAGCTCTGCAGATTTTGCTGTGAAGAGACAGAATCATTAGATCATTTGTTTTGGTTCTGTCCATTTGTAGCTTGTTTTTGGACACAGGTCCAGGAATGGCTAAAGGATTGCAATATTTACCTGGAGCTAACCTTGCAGATAGCATTACTGGGTGATCTGAAAAGTCATAGTCAATCGATCAATAATATAATAATACTTTTAGCAAAAATGTTTATTTTTAATTCACAATCTGTAGAAGCAATGAGAATAGAAAGGTTCAGAACTTTTGTAAAACATCACAGTACGGTTGAAATATATATGGCAAATAGAAATCCTATATGGATGGTGTTAAAATATAGATGGGAGGTATTGAATGGAGTTGAAGGATGGGACTAATAACAAATAACAATAAATAATAACAAGATAACTAATAATGTAAGCATACTGTGTCCATAATAAGTATATAGGTTGTATGTTGGGAGCTTTTGGGAAAGAGCACAGTTAGAAAGATATGGCATATAGAAGCAAACCGGATGGACATCATGAAAATGATCGGAGAGGTTGAGAGTAGAATAAGTTCAGGAGCAAAAACTAATAAAATAGAATTATTGTAAAATTGATCGTGTCCATAAGGTGTAGATAGTAAGTATAGGCTGGAAGTAGAGGCCTGGGCATTGTTGTTCACTAATTTACCCCAAGTAGGGAAAGGGATGGCGGGGTTGAAAAGTAATAAAGGGGAGTATATATAAAAAACATGGGGGATTGGAAGTGATGCAGACAATTACATTGATGGAAGTTAAAATCTATCTGCAATATTAAGCTGATCTACCCCCCCAAAATAAAATAATAATAATAATAATAATAATAATAATAATAATGTCTATGTGGTTAAGTGTTTGGTGCAGGGCGGTTAATAATGTCTATGTGGTTCGGTGTTTGGTGCAGTTTGATTAATAATGTCTATGTGGTTCAGTGTTTGGTGCAGTGTGATTAATAATGTCTATGTGGTTCGGTGTTTGGTGCAGTTTGATTAATAATGTCTATGTGGTTCAGTGTTTGGTGCAGTGTGATTAATAATGTATATGTGGTTCAGTGTTAGGTGCAGTGTGATTAATAATGTATATGTGGTTCAGTTTTTGGTGCAGTTTGATTAATAATGTCTATGTGGTTCAGTTTTTGGTGCAGTGTGATTAATAATGTCTATGTGGTTCAGTTTTTGGTGCAGTGTGATTAATAATGTCTATGTGGTTCAGTTTTTGGTGCAGTGTGATTAATAATGTCTATGTGGTTCAGTTTTTGGTGCAGTGTGATTAATAATGTCTATGTGGTTCAGTTTTTGGTGCAGGGTGGTTAATAGTGTTTGTGTGTGTGTGTGTGTGTGTGTTTCACCATAGTGTTCGGCACAGTGTGGGCTGGGCCAGCAGATGCGGACGGTGCAGTGTCTCTCCTACACAGGTCAGCCCTCCAGTGACTGTCCCGAGGCCCTCAGACCCCCCAACATGCAGCAGTGTGAGAGCAAGTGTGGCGCCACGCCCATCGCCAACGGAGACGGTGAGTACAGAAACGTGTGCAAGCATACACGCACACGCACACACACACACAGAACCCTCACACAATGATCCAGCCATCCCAATACCAGAATTCCATCCCAGCTCCATTCAGCTGGTGGGATGACACAACTCTTACAGAACACACCACATTGTTCTTCCCAGTGAGGTTGAGCTGGCTGCTGGTCAGAGCAGCCTGGACCCTCCATCCTCTCCCTGCTATGATGGATGTGTGTTAGGATGCATAGAGACAGGCCCAGCCCACACGTCGATGGAGCTGAATGGAAACGTTAGGCAAAGCAGGGTGTGTGGAGACGCTAATGGCTAATGGGATTAGCTTCAGGCTAATTGTCCCGTACAGAAAGAGAGACAGGCAGACAGACAGCAGTGGGGGTATTTCTTACAAAATAAGTCTTACCTCAATGAGACCAACCTGAATTGATAAATAAAATGTATGACAGAAGAGAAAGAAGATGATCTTGCACAAACCGATAACAGTAAGAGCTTAGAAAACACAAATAATAGTCCTCAGAAGACAGGGCCAAAGTGATTGATAGAAAAGTGCGCACCGCTCATTTGAAGTGAGATAATTCCAGACATTCCTTTGGTATAGTGTGTTCTCCTTACGTAAACGTATACAGTGGCTTGCGAAAGTATTCACCCCACTTGGCATTTTTCCTATTTTGTTGTCTTACAACCTGGAATTAAAATGGATTTTTGTGGGGTTTGTATCATTTGATTTACACAACATGCCTACCACTTTGAAGATGTAAAATAATTTTTTTTGGTGAAACAAACAAGAAATAAGAGAAAGAAAAACAGAAAACTTGAGCGTGCATAACTATTCACTAAGTCAATACTTTGTAGAGACACCTTTTGCAGCAATTACAGCTGCAAGTCTTTTGGGGTATGCTTGGCACATCTAGCCACTGTGATTTTTGCCCATTCTTCAAGGCAAAACTGCTCCAGCTCCTTCAAGTTGGATGGGTTCCGCTGGTGTACAGCAATCTTTAAGTCATACCACAGATTCTCAATTGGATTGAGGTTTGGGCTTTGACTAGGCCATTCCAAGACATTTAAATGTTTCCCCTTAAACCACTCAAGTGTTGCTTTAGCAGTATGCTTAGGGTCATTGTCCTGCTTAGGATCATTGTCCAGTCTCAAATCTCTGGAAGACTGAAACAGGTTTCCCTCAAGAATGTCCCTGTATTTAGCGGCATCCATCATTCCTTCAATTCTGACCAGTTTCCCAGTCCCTGCCGATGAAAGACATCCCCACAGCATGATGCTGCCACCACCATGCTTCACTGTGGGGATGGTGTTCTCGGGGTGATGAGAGGTGTTGGGTTTGCACCAGACATAGCGTTTTCCTTGATGGCCAAAAAGCTCAATTTTTGTCTCATCTGACCAGAGTGCCTTCTTCCATATGTTTGGGGAGTCTCCCACATGCCTTTTGGCGAACACCAAACGTGTTTGCTTATTTTTTTTCTTTAAGCAATGGCTTTTTTCTGTCCACTCTTCCGTAAAGCCCAGCTCTGTGGAGTGTACGGCTTAAAGTGGTCTTATGGACAGATACAATCTCCGCTGTGGAGCTTTGCAGCTCCTTCAGGGTTATCTTTGGTGTCTTTGTTGCCTCTCTGATTAATGCCCTCCTTGCCTGGTCCTTGAGCTTTGGTGGGCGGCCCTCTCTTGGCAGGTTTGTTGTGGTGCCATATTCTTTCCATTTTTTAATAATGGATTTAATGGTGCTCTGTGTGATGTTCAAAGATCTGTACTTCTCCACAACTTTGTCCCTGACCTGTTTGGAGAGCTCGTTGGTCTTCATGGTGCCGCTTGCTTGGTGGTGCCCCTTGCTTAGTGGTGTTGCAGAATCTGGGGCCTTTCAGAACAGGTGTATATATATACTGAGATTATGTGACAGATCATGTGACACTTAGATTGCACTCAGGTGGACTTTATTTAACTAATTATGTGACTTCTGAAGGTAATTGGTTGCACCAGATCATATTTAGGGGCTTCATAGCAAAGGGGGTGAAAACATATGCACACACCACTTTTCTGTTATTCATTTTTTTGAATTTCTTGAAAGAAGTAATTTTTTTCATTCCACTTCACCAATTTGGACTATTTTGTGTATGTCCATTACATGAAATCCAAATAAAAATCCATTTAAATTACAGGTTGTAATGCAACAAAATAGGAAAAACGCCAAGGGGGAGGAATACTTTTGCAAGGCACTGTAGCACACACAGAGAGGGAACGCGAGAGAGAGAGAGAGAGAGAGAGAGAGAGAGCGCGAGACAGACAGACAGACAGACAGACAGAGAGAGAGAGAGAGAGAGAGAGAGAGAGAGAGAGAGAGAGAGAGAGAGAGAGAGAGAGCGAGAGCAAGAGAGAGAGTTGCCAGGACAACAAATACAAAATCTATCTAGACCCTGTTGCCCTAGAGCACACCAACAATTATACATACCTCGGCCTAAACATTAACACCACAGGTACAGTGGGGGAAAAAAGTATTTGGTCAGCCACCAATTGTGCAAGTTCTCCCACTTAAAAAGATGAGAGAGGCCTGTAATTTTCATCATAGGTACATGTCAACTATGACAGACAAATTGAGAAAAAAATTTCCAGAAAATCACATTGTAGGATTTTTAATGAATTTATTTGCAAATTATGGTGGAAAATAAGTATTTGGTCACCTACAAACAAGCAAGATTTCTGGCTCTCACAGACCTGTAACTTCTTCTTTAAGAGGCTCCTCTGTCCTCCACTCGTTACCTGTATTAATGGCACCTGTTTGAACTTGTTATCAGTATAAAAGACATCTGTCCACAACCTCAAACAGTCACACTCCAAACTCCACTATGGCCAAGACCAAAGAGCTGTCAAAGGACACCAGAAACAAAATTGTAGACCTGCACCAGGCTGGGAAGACTGAATCTGCAATAGGTAAGCAGCTTGGTTTGAAGAAATCAACTGTGGGAGCAATTATTAGGAAATGGAAGACATACTGATAATCTCCCTCGATCTGGGGCTCCACGCAAGATCTCACCCCGTGGGGTCAAAATGATCACAAGAACCACACGGGGGGGACCTAGTGAATGACCTGCAGAGAGCTGGGACCAAAGTAACAAAGCCTACCATCAGTAACACACTACGCCGCCAGGGACTCAAATCCTGCAGTGCCAGACGTGTCCCCCTGCTTAAGCCAGTACATGTCCAGGCCCGTCTGAAGTTTGCTAGAGTGCATTTGGATGATCCAGAAGAGGATTGGGAGAATGTCATATGGTCAGATGAAACCAAAATATAACTTTTTGGTAAAAACTCAACTCGTCGTGTTTGGAGGACAAAGAATGCTGAGTTGCATCCAAAGAACACCATACCTACTGTGAAGCATGGGGGGTGGAAACATCATGCTTTGGGGCTGTTTTTCTGCAAAGGGACCAGGACGACTGATCCGTTTAAAGGAAAGAATGAATGGGACCATGTATCGTGAGATTTTGAGTGAAAACCTCCTTCCATCAGCAAGGGCATTGAAGATGAAACGTGGCTGGGTCTTTCAGCATGACAATGATCCCAAACAGTGGCCTAGCCAGTCTCCAGATCTCAACCCCATACAAAATCTTTGGAGGGAGTTGAAAGTCCGTGTTGCCCAGCGACAGCCCCAAAACATCACTGCTCTAGAGGAGATCTGCATGGAGGAATGGGCCAAAATACCAGCAACAGTGTGTGAAAACCTTGTGAAGACTTACAGAAAACGTTTGACCTGTGTCATTGCCAACAAAGGGTATATAACAAAGTATTGAGAAACTTTTGTTATTGACCAAATACTTATTTTCCACCATAATTTGCAAATAAATTCATTGATTTTCTGGATTTTTTTCCCTCATTTTGTCTGTCATGGTTGACGTGTACCTATGATGAAAATTACAGGCCTCTCTCATATTTTTAAGTGGGAGAACTTGCACAATTGGTGGCTGACTAAATACATTTTTTCCCCACTGTAACTTCCACAAGGCTGTGAACTATCTAAGAGACAAGGCAAGAAGGGCCTTCTAGGACATCAAAAGGAACATAAACTCGACATCACAATTAGGATCTGGCTAAAAATACTTTAATCAGTTATAGAACCCATTGCCCTCCATGGTTGTGATGTCCCGGGTCCACTCACTAACCAAGAATTCACAAAATGGGACAAACACCCAATTGAGACTCTGCATGTAGAATTCTGCAAAAATATACTTTTTGTACAACGCAAAACAATGCATGCAGAGCATAATTAGTTATCAATATCCAGAAAATAGCTTTTTAATTCTACAGCCACCTAAAAGGAAGCGATGCCCACACCTTCCACCACAAAGCCCTCACCTACAGAGAGATTAACCTAGAGAAGAGTCCCCTCAGCCAGCTGGTTCTGGCCATCACCTACAGAGAGATTAACCTAGAGAAGAGTCCCCTCAGCCAGCTGGTTCTGGGGCTCTGTTCACAAAAACAAACAGACCCAACAGAGCCCCAGGACAGCAACACAATTAGACCCAACCAAATTGTGAGAAAGCAAAAAGATAAGTATTTGGCACACTGGAAAGAATCAACCAAAAATCTGAGCAACTTGGAATGCTATCTGGCCGTAAACAGAGAGTACACAGTGGTAGAATACCTGACCACTGTGACTAACCCAAAACATTTAAAATCCTTGACTATGTACAGACTCAGTGAGCATAGCCTTGCTATTGAGTGAGGTTGCCATAGGCAGACCTGGCTCTCAAGAGAAGACAGGATATGTGCCCACTGTCCACAAAATGAGGTGGAAACTGAGCTGCACTTCCTAACCTCCTGCCAAATGTATGACCATTTTAGAGACACATATTTCCCGCAGATTACACAGACCCACAAAGAATTTGAAAACAAATCCAATACTGATAAACTCACATATCTTTTAGGCGAAATACCACTATGTGCAATCGCAACAGCAAGATGTGTGGTCCGTTGCCATGAGAAAAGGGCAACCAGTGGAGCACAAACAACATTGTAAATACCACCAATACTTATCTGTTTATGCATCTTCCCCCACTATTCATACTACAACTATTTGCACATTGCTAAAACTGTACACAGCTGATAATATAACACTTGAAATGTCTTTATCTTTTTGAAACCTTTGTGAGTGTAATGTTTACTTTCTAATAGTTTTCTGTCGATGTTGTGTATGTTGGTTGATTGTTTATTTCACTTGCTTTGGCAATGTAAACATGTGTTTCCCATGCCAATAAAACCCCTTTGAATTGAGAGAGAGAGAGAGAGAGAGAGGCAGGAACGTTTCAACATACCATTACGTCAATCAGATGGAACATACCATTACATCAATCAGACGGAACATACCATTACACAGAGACATGGAGGGAAGATTTATTATGGGCCGGTCGTTTTCAGAGACAACAGAAACTGTTTCTCTCAACCTTTTTTTGTTCCAGGGACATGCTGGGAGGGCTGCTTATATTAAAACTAACAGCTGAGAACTGACTAAATAGGTGTCAGACAACTATCTGTGGGACTGGCGCCATTGCTCCGGCCGGAGGTTGAGAAATACTGGTCTAGAATGCATTTAATTAATTTGAACAGAACAGCAATATTACAACATGGACACGCGCGTCAACACACACACAAACACAAACACACACACACAAACACACACAAACACATACAAACACATACAAACAAACAAACACATACACACACACACACAAACAAACACACACACACAAACACACACACACACACAAACAAACACACACACACACACACACACACACACAGGTGGTTCATAGACATTCCACTTCTTCTTTCCTTTATTTAACTTTTTTATTTTTCTCTCCAGAATGTAAAGACGTAAACAAAGTGGCATATTGCCCACTGGTGCTGAAGTTCAAGTTCTGCGGCCGCGCGTACTTCAGACAGATGTGCTGCAAGACGTGCCAAGGACGCTGACCCACAGAGAGAGAGAGCGAGAACTAAAGAGAGGAACAGAGGGAACTGGAGGAGAAAGAGAAACACAGGCAGAGGACAGAGTGAAAAACACCTCAAGACCATTGGAAGAGAAGGAGGAAAAAGGACTAGAGGACACTGTGGACGAGAGACGAAAATAAAAGAGGGATTAACCCGTTCATCACCTCCCCCCCAACCCCAACCCCATCATCAACGTGGAAACCTAACCACTGCTCAGCGGACACGCTGACACAGACATTTATTAGTCACTTCTGTGAAGTGGGAACCTTAGAGGATTATTGTTACTGATGTTATTTTTATTATAATAATAATAATTAATATTATTTTTATTATTTTGTCATCTGTTTGTTGTTGTTGTTTGTTGTTGTTGTTTTTGAATCCAAAGTGCTGGACACATCACACATAGAGCAGAAGCACTGCAGGGATGGATGGATGGAAGGAGTAGCCACTGGAGGGGAGGAGAGAGGGAGAGGAGGAGGGAGTGTAGCTGAAGAGTGGAGGGGGGTTGTAATGGTGCTATGGAAAGACAGACAGTGTGAATATTCCATAAATTACACCCAAACACATCACCAAACCCACCAGTACTGGAATGAACTGTTCAAGATGTCATCACCCGTAGTGTCCTTCAAGCAATTGTATTAAATCTGTCTGTGATTATGCCACATATTGTCAGTGGAGGCCTGGAGGGTAATGGGATGACAGAGCGCATGGTTCTAAAATGTTCTGTGCTGGAACCGGAAAAAAGGTGCAATGTCAGGTGTTATTTCTACTTTCATGTTATCAGAGGAGGTCAGGTACGGTAAATTGTTCTTCTGTTCTGTTAGTTTGTTTTCCTATTTTCTCGTTTCGTTTCTTTTTTCTAAAGGAGGGGTGCCTTAGTTTTGAACAATGCTCACTTTGTGCCAGAACCTTTAAAAAGGAGACCCATGGTTGATGTAAAATTGTGGATTTGTGAATAATCATAAATATTGCAAACTGCACAGTTTGGCATTGAAGTACTGTATTGACTTTGAAGGACCTTAGTTGTTAATATTGTTGTTGTTATTATCATGTAGTTCTGATACTCCACCTCTTGTGAACAAAATGCATTGGAGAATTATTAGTGAACTATACTGTTATCAAACACAGAGGATCTCTGTATCAGTCCTCTCACAGTATATTCTGTAGTTTAGAGATTTCATCAGCATGGGAAGAACTCACAGCCTCTCCAGCACCGTGACTGGAGATAAGTGAAGGGCCAGTACTGAACACACACACACGCACGCAAACACACACACGCACGCACGCACACACACACACTCCCAGCAGTCCCTCCCAGCAGACCATGATGTGTTGCCAGACCACACAGATCCGATCTGCCACAGACAGACTACCTCCAGATAGTGTCACCCCCCTTCTCCTCGTCCTTCCTTCCTTCCTTCCTTCCTTCTTCCGTCCTTCCTCCTCCTTTCCGTCCGTCCGTCCTGTACGCCCCTCGGCGGCCGTCCTGCAGGTCCGTCCTTCCGCGTCATTCGTCCTCCCTACGTCCTTCCGTCCCTCCCTCCGTGCCTCCCGCCCTCCCTCCTTTCTCCCCCTCCCTCCCTCCCTCCTTTCCTCCCTCCCTCCCTTCCTCTCTGCTCCCCTCTTCCACTCTACTCTACAAAGAGAGAACAAACAGCAAATAACGTAATATTATGCAACTCAATGGTGCTTCAATAATAATAATATTCAGGTGGAGTGCTGTTTGTTTCTGTTGACTCCTCCTTGTTTCTTCTTCAAGTGGGAGGCTTTTCCCCCTGGCTCTTCTCCCTGGCTCTTCTCCCTGACCCTTCTCCCTGGCTCTTCTCCCTGGCTCTTCTCCCTGGCTCTTCTCCCTGGCCCTTCTCCCTGGCTCTTCTCCCTGGCTCTTCACCCTGGCTCTTCTCCCTGGCTCTTCTCCCTGGCTCTTCTCCCTGGCCCTTCTCCCTGGCTCTTCTCCCTGGCTCTTCTCCCTGGCCCTTCTCCCTGGCTCTTCTCCCTGGCCCTTCTCCCTGGCTCTTCTCCCTGGCTTCTCTCTGGCTTCTCCCAGGCCCACGGTGCTATATAATTGGTGCTTTCACTCCCACTACTATACAGTGACTATAGGCTGGATCTGATCTGAGCAATATGAACAATAAGACATTAATATCTATATGTTGGTTAATGCTGACAATGTTGTTGTTTGTTTAAAATTATATATTCTTACCTCACACTGGGAATTTTCATTGATGGTGTAGTACCAACCCACCACTACCACCCCTAACCCCTCACCCCTACACATGGACTTCCATTCAGTTGTATCCTGTATTATTCCTAGTTGTGTCAAACATTCTTCTAATATAAACCCTCCCCAAGTGACATTGCTTCTGGCGTTGGTTGGGGTTGTGAAAAGGGACCGTCACCCGTGTGGAACTGACCAAGCGGACCAGACAGACCAGGCCCAGATGGAGCCATGCTGTGGAGGATAAACCAGTAGGACTTGATGGAACCCCAAGACCAATGGGAAAGACAATTAAGGAGTCACAAATCATACGACTATGCTACTTTTTTTTTGCTGCTGCTACTTTTTGGTAGCCACCTCCAGTGTAACTAAGGACGTTAGGCCCGTGATCTAATCTTTGGTGATGAAATGTTGAACCAGGACGTTTGGACGTTAGTGGACGATGAAAGCTAAAGCATTTGAACTGCATTGAACTCAACATGCTGGTACTTCTTCCAGAGCTGTTTCTATGTTAAATCCTGAGGCTTGAAGTAACAGTTTACTGGCATTGGGACATGGGGCCTACAGACAGACGGACAGACAGACGGACTGACAGAGACACTCTAGAAGATGCTCAATCCAACTGGTACTCATAGCTGTGAACTTAGATGTTATGAATGTCACTGCTTTACCCTGTATCTTCAAGAGCAAGAGAGAAATGAAAAACAATAAGCATTATTTGATTAGTTATGTATATTTTATATTCAGTATTAATGTTGGTACACTGTTAAATTTTTTATTTTTTTGTAAATGATATGCTAATTTATTGCCATGTGTCACTTCTTTTAGATTTGTTCACTGCATGCGAACAGAACGTTAGTCTAGTGAAAAAGAAATGCAGTGAAATAGGCCCCTTCACCAAACTGTTTTAACGTAGATACATTAGGACAATAAAAACAGCAGCTTCTGAAGAGACTCTGTGTTAGCTGGCTTCTGTTTTTTCCTGAAATGTTTGAACAACACTCTTGTGTTTGTGTTTCAAGATTTTAGATCTAAGGACCTTCTCTAAGTACGTTCTAAGACTCTTCTGAGGTTCTAAAAGAGAGTGGACAGACTGAAGGAGCTTAGTGGACTTAGTTGAAGATTTTTGTTCTGGTCCATTATTAACACCCCTGATTCAAGCAGGGTGCTATTTATTCTCCGGCTGTTAAAAGCTTTGGCCACCATACGTAATGTGATACTGGTCAGTCTATTCCCCCAGTACTGGGAACCTGAGGCTCCAACAGCTAATGGCAGCACACCAGAATACTGAATACCTGTTAACACCAACGAACAAGGGCGTCTATTCACTGCAGTAGGCTACCACAGAGCAAGGCTACCCAATCTTAGCCACCCTTACCGGCCGTCAGTATCTGGGCAAGTGGCAAAGTCATAAACCCCACCTATTTCTACAATTGCTCTTCTTAAAATCTAATTTTAAACCTACAACTAAGCTTAACAGTAACCTTAACCACACTGCTAACCTTATGTCTTAACCCTAACCTCGATATAGTGACTTTGTCACTTGCCCATCCAGTGGCGACCACCACTACCTTATAGAGGGTATTGTTCTACATTTCCCAATTCTCCAGAGGGTTACTAAGGAAATGTTGCGATGGAAGTCCACACTTCAGTCTGTCTGATCTGGCTACAGTACCTCCTCCATCCCCACTGGGACCTGGTCTGGTCTGGCTACAGTACCTCCTCAATCCCCACTGGGACCTGGTCTGGTCTGGCTACCTACCTCCTCCATCCCCACTGGGACCTGGTCTGGTCTGGCTATAGTACCGCCATCCCCACTGGGACCTGGTCTGGTCTGGCTACCTACCTCCTCCATCCCCACTGGGACCTGGTCTGGTCTGGCTACCTACCTCCTCCATCCCCACTGGGACCTGGTCTGGTCTGGCTACCTACCTCCTCCATCCCCACTGGGACCTGGTCTGGTCTGGCTACCTACCTCCTCCATCCCCACTGGGACCTGGTCTGGTCTGGCTATAGTACCGCCATCCCCACTGGGACCTGGTCTGGTCTGGCTACCTACCTCCTCCATCCCCACTGGGACCTGGTCTGGTCTGGCTATAGTACCGCCATCCCCACTGGGACCTGGTCTGGTCTGGCTACCTACCTCCTCCATCCCCACTGGGACCTGGTCTGGTCTGGCTATAGTACCGCCATCCCCACTGGGACCTGGTCTGGTCTGGCTACCTACCTCCTCCATCCCCACTGGGACCTGGTCTGGTCTGGCTATAGTACCGCCATCCCCACTGGGACCTGGTCTGGTCTGGCTACCTACCTCCTCCATCCCCACTGGGACCTGGTCTGGTCTGGCTATAGTACCGCCATCCCCACTGGGACCTGGTCTGGTCTGGCTATAGTACCGCCATCCCCACTGGGACTCCTTGGTAAGGAAGTCTAAACAAACACCATCTACATCATCATTTGGCTCAGTAACACCAGCTCCTCCTCATGATAATCCACAGACTCCTGTTACACAGACAGGCAGGCAGATAGACAGACAGGCAGGCAGGCAGACGGGCTGTTATGTCTAGTGTGAGCATGTCTCTCTCTCTCTCTGTGTGTGTGTGTGTGTGTGTGTGTGCAGCAGGCTAGGCTACTGTCCTCCTGGCCAACTGCAGGGGTCTGTGATTACATTACCCTGATACTGAGGAGGAGAGAGAGGGAACAGAGGAGAGGAGAAGAGTAACAGTGGTGAGAGTGATGAAGAGAAGAGGATGAAAAAAAGGTGAGATGTTAGAGGCTGAGGGATTCATAAGCTGCTCTCCAACTGGCAGTCCTGAGTTGGCGGTTTACATGCCTGCCACAACACACAGAGGACAGCTGAGGTCCACAGACACTCTACCAGAAACAATGACATTCCTCAAATCACTAGCCTATATATCACTA